GGAGTGCTAACCTGAGAAGGCCCAACCGACGGGTCGTCGAGGCAATATTGTTCCGGAATACCCTACTGTGTCGGAACCAGCTTGCCGGTTCGGAACTCGATACACCGCCGTCCGGGTTGCTCTTCTACTGTATGTTTGGCGACTACGACAGCGTCGCAGTCGCCGCCGCGTCATCCTATCCTCTTGGTGCCAGCGCACTGGAATGATGGTAGCCTGTGGCGCAGCCTCGACCCCGACAGGTCGCCCCGTGACCATCACTGAAGGAGACTTCCTTCTCACAGGGGCCGGAGCTGGATAAACGCCCCCTCTGACCCCAGGATCAGTGGCGGAGGCACTTGGCATGGTGCCAAGAGGGAAGAAAAGCGCTCCCTCTCTTGTTCCACCGCCTATAGTAAACAAAGTCCTAGGGTAAAGTAACCTATCGTTTCACTACACGCCCCAGGCTGTGACTTGAGATCCAAGTCACAACCATCTCACGGCTATACCCCTGCTCTGGGATACGAACTTCATTCAATAGAATGCTCATCTACTGCGAGGCAGTCAACGTTCTGATGTGAAGGTCGGGGCGGACGTTATATAATTAAGAATTTGACCTAAAGTCTCAAGGTGAGTGGCGGTATTCACGCTGTGATATCTATGAGCTTCAACAACCACTTAGCTCTCCACGCAGGCCGTGAGTTCGATAGGCCGTGTAATGTGATAATAAAAGTAAGAGTATAAGTAAAATTCGATACAAAGGGCAGAGGTTGGGCCACTCCGCCGCTCAAATTCTATTAAAGCAAGGAATTTTTTCACTGAAACAGGTTCGTTCATATCGTATCGTTCGTACGCGATGAATCGTTCAGGGAAATGGGCAGGTCCCCCACGCAACAGCTATGGCTGGGAAGACCGATGTTACGAGTGTTATTGTTTTTTGGTTCAGGGGTTTTTTGATTTATCACAACACGTAACCGAGCTCAAGAGCTCAGCTGGGAATGAAAAGTTTACTATAACTACCCTAACGCCTCGAGGTCCAACAACTCAGAGGAACCTGCTTCGTGAATGAATCTACCACTGAATCGCAATCACGACCTGCTGATGTGATTCGTTGAGCTCGGCTGGCCGGCGCTGCGGGCCAACTTTATTTTTATTGCTTAGATGGGTGGACGAGCTCACAGCGCACCTGATGTGGTGGTTACTGGAGCTCATAGACATCGTAAATGCGCCACCCACCTTGAGATATAGGTTCTCTCAAGCATAGTTGCCCCACCTTTCAAACCGAAACGCATTACTGCTAGGCAGAGTGGTGGTACGTACCCGCGCGGACTCACAAGAGGTCCTACCACCAGTAAGTGTAGTTGTTTGGAACTTGTATTTTAAACGTAAAATATTCTTTATATATTTTTTTTTTTATTATTTTTTTTTATTGCCCTTTTATGCAGACGAGCATACGGCCCACCTGATGGTGAGTGGTTACCGTCGCCCATGGACTTCAGCAATGCCAGGGGCAGAGCCAAGCCGCTGCCTACCTATATACCCGTATTTTTCTATTTCGCAAGCGCCAATGAGACTGCTCGTCGATACGACTCTATAGCCTGAAACGGTTAATATCTTCTGTCCATGTGAACTAGCCTCCTCAGAAAGACGAATTAAGTGTAAATTAAGAAAAAATACTCGATCGGAATCATTTGTATTTCTAAAATTACAAATTTTCTTTTTACGAAACCGTATATTCTAATAAACTTAATATTTACGCGCGATTCCTCGTGATTAATTCGAAAATTTTACTATTTATTTTTTGTATAGATTGTATTTTTTGTATTTTGTGTTCGTGTTTAGTTTTTATTTATTTATATTTGTTGGTTCACACATCCCATGTTCTTGCTTGGATTGAAGTTGTAACTCAAGTCCAGAGTCATAGCAACTTGTCTGCTACTACTCATATTCAGACATGATCACATCTTAATTGTGTACACACCCCGATGGAAGTTAAAGACTTGATCAAAGACCTACGTCCTCGCAAGGCTCCCGGTTCCGACGGTATATCCAACCGCGTTATTAAACTTCTACCCGTCCAACTCATCGTGATGTTGGCATCTATTTTCAATGCCGCTATGGCGAACTGTATCTTTCCCGCGGTGTGGAAAGAAGCAGACGTTATCGGCATACATAAACCCGGTAAACCAAAAAATCATCCGACGAGCTACCGCCCGATTAGCCTCCTCATGTCTCTAGGCAAACTGTATGAGCGTCTGCTCTACAAACGCCTCAGAGACTTCGTCTCATCCAAGGGCATTCTCATCGATGAACAATTCGGATTCCGTACAAATCACTCATGCGTTCAACAGGTGCACCGCCTCACGGAGCACATTCTTGTGGGGCTTAATCGACCAAAACCGTTATACACGGGAGCTCTCTTCTTCGACGTCGCAAAAGCGTTCGACAAA